AACTTCTTTTTGCCACAACTATTGTCTGATTTTGAATGGATGGTACACTTGCTACCTCTTTTTTCCACAGCCATGGTCTGATTTTGAATGGATACCACACTTTCAATTTGTTTTTTCCATAGCTATTGTCTGGTTTTGAATGGATACTACACTAGCAACATTCTTTTGCCACAACTATGGTCTGATTTTGAACAAACACGACACCTGCAACTTCTTTTTGCCACAACTAGCTGCTTAAACCAATGTCTGCATTTATTGATATGTTCTGTGTGGTTGCTGGCTTTGCCAATCCATCTTGTTCTTCCGTGGTATGTTGAAGTTGTTTCTCGCCACCATTATGCTTTATTACTTCACCCATTGCAGGGTTGTATGATAAGAGGTCTTTGTTCAGTGATTGTGGTGTGAACTCCTCTAAGGATGCTTGCACTGCAATGACCAGGTCTTGCACTGTCTTAGGAGATTCTTGTTCCTTGATTAAGTCTAAGGCCCTAACCAGCCCCAATCTAATACATTGAGTTCTGGACTATTGGGTCGCTGGAATTTGAGCTGAATGTTCAAGCCATCATCTTGAACCAATTGAAAAAATTATGGGCCACTTAGCTCTACACTTGCTACCTCTTTTTTCCACAGCCATGGTCTGATTTTGAATGGATACCACACTTTCAATTTGTTTTTTCCATAGCTATTGTCTGGTTTTGAATGGATACTACACTAGCAACATTCTTTTGCCACAACTATGGTCTGATTTTGAACAAACACGACACCTGCAACTTCTTTTTGCCACAACTAGCTGCTTAAACCAATGTCTGCATTTATTGATATGTTCTGTGTGGTTGCTGGCTTTGCCAATCCATCTTGTTCTTCCGTGGTATGTTGAAGTTGTTTCTGGCCACCATTATTGTTGGGTTTTGGGCTCACTTCTTATGTGGAGGCCCAAGTAAAGCCCAATTCTTCACAAGCCCACTCTTTGATGAAATAAGAGGTTAACAAGAGGTGGAGTTAGGGTAGTGAGCAGAAAACGAGAGAAAACG